GAGACTAGAACGCCGACAGTACATTATTTGTTACTGTACTTAAAGAGAAGTGTTTTTTTAAGTGCCTCTCAATTTGTATATGACATTTGGCATGCCCCACCGTATCCCATTACATTAAAAAATGTATCTTGCCACATAATCCTACTAAGAAGGTGTAGGCACTGTTCTAAAAATTCCTGCCTAGTACCACTCAGTAGTACGGTTTAGTGTTATTCTTTTTCACTTGTAAATGAGAGGTCTTAGGTTCTATTCTTGCGCAAAAGCGAATTTGAAGCACATTATTACTAGACTATTTTGAGACTAAACCCACCCCTCCCCTTATTGTAAATTTCCCCGCCTAGAGCCTCGCCTATGTCGCAACTCTCACTTATACATGAAATAAATAACTTTTATTTTACATTTTATTTTTTAATAAAAATGAAAGAGACTTGTTGAATACTCGAATGAACACTTATTATATGATTGTTCCTCATGTTTTCAATATATTTTAATCCTTTATAACTTAAATGCCATTTTATTTTGCACTTTAGGTAACCCAATACAATGATGTATTTTTAAATGTAAACGACACTTATTTATACGAGAAAAATATCAATGAGTACGTGATATAAAGGGAATGGAAAAAATGGTGGAGAGAATCCTACTCCCTCTTTTACGTTTCATATATTTGAAATGTTTGCTTTAAATCAGATCAACTCAGTTATGAGATGCTTTGATATGTTGCAAAACCTACATCTGAAACGAGAAAGTTTCAGCCATCCGCTTAGATATATATTTGACATTTTCGCAAGAAACTACTCTAATTAGGTTAAAAGATTGAACTCGGGCACACATTAGAGTGAGCGCTTTAAATAACTATTCGGATTTACATATGTCATTGTTTTAATTCACAAAAAGATGATTGAGCTTGAATACAAAAAGATTAGACACATTAACCTGAACAACCTAGTCTAACTCACACATATATTTCATCGTAACCAAAATCAAGTTGAATTCTAATTTGGCTCCCGGAGATTCTAGTACAGAAAAATCAAACAACAAATTCGAATCCCATAATAAGCAAAACTTTGCTTTTCCAATTAATGTCGGGCCAATGATATTTCATTTAGTGACAAATTCAAAATTTTAATGATGGGTGGTCTTAATATAAAAGCTCAACAAAAAAAAAAAAAAAAAAAATAGAGAAAAATAATATTAAAAAAATAAACGACAAACTACAACTTTTTTTATTCATAATCTTTGCGCAACAACATTACAAACTGTAAAGACTAATTTATCCACGACGAACAAAACCACAAACTTCTTGCTGCTATTTATTTCCAACTATATGAGTACTAGTTTACAAGAGGTTGGAATAGTATAGATAGGATGTGGGTCCGAGGCCCTTTCTCTTGGTCGCCAAAACCATCTCCGTCTTTGTAAAGGCTGTGCGCCACACGTGCCATGTTTGTGGCATTGTTCATGAATGATGACAGAAAAGGCACTTGGTTTGTTGTGAAGCATTTTCCATTTACTTTCTTCCATGCATTGTCTATCATGCCCTTAATGTTCTTCCTAGCTATTTCTTCAGAGGTATTCACTTCTCTCATGTAACATACGATTGATGAAGGAGAATCCCCTCTCTCTTGTTCAGCCTGTTAATCATTTCATTAATTATGTCGTGATTAGAATTTTTGCTTAGTTTTTTTTTTTTCGGCCATAAATAATGAAAGAAAGAACGAAGATTACCGCAGAAGTTCCCAAATCATTGTTGAGGCGAACAATGAGGGAGAGATTATACAAAAGATCTTCATTCTTGTGAAGAAAATCAGCCATCTCTTTGGTTCCCTCATGAGTTATAAAGAAAAATGAGTGAACCAAAAGTATTGAAACTGATGATGAATTGCATCCATTTCTTAGGTACTCTTCAAGGGTTGGTATATGGCTCTTATTATACCACTCTGCCTCCACCAATAATGCTTTACAAAAATCTGCCCACTAAGAATCAGACAAATAAGTTCAGCTATAAATATATATACACACATAAAAATCAAAGCAAATAAAAAAAGAGAACTGTTATTGGCAATCTAAAAATGTTATCTGCACTTATCCGTTATAAAAATGTAATGGAGAATTTACGCTTTGGCAAGTGTAGGATGATCTTTCCAAAGTGCCAATAACAGCAAAAAAAAAAAAAAAAAAAACTAAACTGGCTTAGGTTGCGTACCACTTTGGTCAATTGAGGTAATACTTGGTTCCAACCATTCTCCTTCTCAATTTCATGAGCAATTTCACAAGTAGTGTTGTAGAGTACTTGGAAACACATCTTCATACACTCTGGAAGCTGCTCAGTTTCCCTAGAATCCCACCTGATCAATTCAAGAAATCTTCTAAAATTTTGTATCAACAATTGTCGTTTATGGAATTTGAACTCACAACTTCCTTCAAAAATGTCAAAACTCAACATTTGGGATTTGAAAATTAAATAACTAACCTATCAACAGCATTGGTGAAGTGCTTTAGCTCTTCCTCTGAGCCATAAATATCATAGACGTCGTCTATGATCAGTACTAAGTTGATGACTTTGGTCAGACATATTCTAAAAGATGAGTATTCAGGCTCGAAAGCTACTCCCACAGCACATGCGAAACATTCAACCAGTCTATCTCTTGCAAATTTCAAGTTGTCTGCGATGCCCAGATTTGCCCACCACCTTAAATGACACATTAAAATCATTACGAGGGTCGTGGGAATGGTTGAGAATACAGTGTCAAAATACGGAGAGAGAATCTCCCTCACACTCACATAGTCACATGCATTAGGCCAGCACGACGGTCACATGCCACTCACATGCATTAAGTCCTTCTAAATAAGACTATCCTTTTCATAACATAGACTTTCCTCACATCCTCCCCCCTCTCTCTCCCCCACCCCCCAAATAGATTAATTTGATGACATTCTGTATTAATGACGTAACATCATGTGTTTTATTGTCGTAGAGAGTTTCCTCACATCCCCCCATAGGTTACTTTGATGACATTATGTATTACTGACGTAGAATCATGTGTTTTATTGTTTTCACATGCATCGTATCATTAGTTCAAGAGTAAATTAAAGTAGTGGTTCCTCAACTTTAATTAAATCGAAACAATGGTCCCTCAACTAAAAATTCATTACCATTGGTCCCTCAACTCATCAAAATGTGTAGCTATGGTCATTTTCGTCAATTTCATCATAATTTTATCAAAATAAGTTATGTTGGAATGACCATTGCTACAATTGGGATCCCTCAACTCATCAAAACGTGTAGCTATGGTCCATTTTGTCAACTTCGTCATAATTTTGTCAAAATGAGTTATGTTGGAAGGACTATTGCTACAATTGGGTTAAAGTTGAAAGACCATTGCTCCAATTGGGCTAAAGTTGAGGGACCATTTCTCTAGTTGCATTAAAGTTTAGGGACCATAGCTGCACATTTTGATGAGTTGAGGGACCGATAGTAATGGATTTATAGTTGAGGGATCATTGCTCCAATTGAGTTAAATTTAAGGGACCATTGCTACAATTTACTCTTAGTTCAAAATGTCATCATCATAATAAATATATACAAATAACATGGGGTGTGCTATCCCCACATCCATTTTTACTTCTCACACACCATCTTAATTTTAGGCCATCAGATCGAAAAATTTGAAGAAGACAAATGATATAAATTAATAAGGAGTGTATGAGAAGTAAAAATGGATGTGAGGATACGACACCCCTAAATAAATTAAGAAGAAGACGAATGATGTTTTTTTTTTTTTGTTTGCCTTACTTGGATGCTTCCCTTAAGTCTTTTTGGAGGTGGGCCTGAACCATGTTGAAATTAAGCTTTGCTAATTCGAGTAACGTGGCGTTGACGCGACAAATGTCTTTTTCATAGGCGTTGATTTGCCATTTGACATCAAACCACTGCACCCTGCGGTGTGATGGAAGCTCCAGGGAATGAATTACGTCCCTGGAAAGGTTACTGTCCGGATAACAAATATGACCACTATCTCTGAGAGCTAGCGTCAAGGAAGCTTTCGCCTCATCTAAAATATCTTCACCTTCGAAACCCAGGTTTGAGGCCTCGAAAAGTTCCAGCATTCCTTTCAAATGTGCGAAATGGTGGTTCTCTAATGTGCCCTTTTCATCCATGAATCTACCAAATATATCTGGGTTTCACACCACAAATAATCAGTTAACCAATAAGAGTTCTTTAATTATAAGATAAAATTATGGAAATGATTTAGAAGTGCTTAGGTCTAAACGCATGGCTAATCATTATTTACCTTGTGAAACTTTATAGCCATGCTGCCTGAGGATCTTGAAGTGTAATGCAGTACCATAGAGATCGTCTCTTGTGCCGAGATTGTCGCTTTCGATAGCTGCAATGCTGTCTAGGGCTTCCTTGATTTCCTTTTCGAAGTGGTTCGCCAGGCCTAGTTTTCGGACGCTGTCAATGAGCTCCAACTTAGCCACTAAATCCTTTGTTTCAGCAGATATATAAATCTTAACTTCTTCTATTAACTTCTCAGACAGCTTCCGATACTCATCTCCCTGCACTCAGTTTATAATAAAATAATTAAGACAATTCACGTTAATTAAGCTTTAGACTTTAACTACAACATTAATGGAAGAAGCTTAATTAGAAACATATATAACTCACATCGTATTTGCTGATAAGAGATTGATCTAGGAAATCATTCTTCCAAATATTTGGTTTGTAATTTGCAGATCGTCTTTGATTAATCAAGTAAGAGGCTTCAGATTCGGGTTTCATTTGGTTTTGAAGAATTTTCTGCTCATGATCAGCATGCAAGTGAACTTTAAACTCCATAGTGAATACCTAATTTGGTGTACAAGAAGCTAGAGATGTTTGGGATACAAGAAGCGAGAGGTTTTTGGGATATCAAATGAATCTCCGGAGGGGTGGGTTATATAGGCAAAGGTAGGGTATGCTCCACACGTCTAGTGGTCAATATTTGTAATGGGCAATGCATGTTTATAGCTTTTTCACGTTTCTCGTGGAAAACGACAAAAATATCAATGCGTGGATGAGATAGTTCTTCAGTTCTTCTTACAACTACAAGGTCGTCTCTAAAACTTTTGGAAGCTTTGTGCGAAATTTATAAAAGATTCTTCTTTAATATAGTTTTTCAAAAAAATAAGGACAATATATTGATTCGAGAAAGCAATAACTTAAATCAAGCAAACTTTAGGACTCATTGATTGTTAGTTTACAAATGTCATTAAATAATATGTAAAAGAACTACAAACATAATATTCACTAGATAATAAAAAACAATTCAATCTTAAACAACCAAACAAGAAAAAATAACTTCAAAAGCTGTAACTTTAAAATTTCACTTGAATATATAGCATTATTATATAATAAGATTGAAAAAATATCTTCTTTTAGACCAATTCACAATGGTGGGCTAAAAGCCAAATTACCTTCTTGGTTGCGGGGAATGGTGGTGGTGGCATCAATGGTGGTAGTAGTGGTGGTGGGAATGGCGATGGTGGCGGTAGTGGTAGTGATGGTTGTGACAATGATGGTAGTGATGACAATGGTGGAGGTTGTGGTGGCAATGGTTGTGGTAATTGTGGTGGCAATGGCGGCATCAATGGTGGTAATGATGGTAGTAGTGGTGGTGGCAATGATGGTGGTGGCGGTGGTGACAATGATGGTAGTGATGACAATGGTGAAGGTTATGGTTATGGCGGTGGTGGTGACAAAAATGGTGATTGTAGTGGTGATGATGGTGTAAGGTTAGTATTGTAGTGGCAGGTAGTAAAATTTACTTTATTCTCTAAGGGATAGAATGTGTGTGGAAGGCTAAACAATGTCATTTAAAAAAAATAATGAAGATATTACAAAAGTGAACTATTATTAGCACTTCAAAAATCTTATTCTACACTTCTCATAAGTGTATTTTTCTTTCTAATTATAGAAAGTTGGGAGTGCCAAATGAGATTTTTAGAATACTAATAATAACTCCCTTACAACGATTGAAAATAATTATTAAAGACCCAACTCTGCTTTTTATTAAAGCAGCTTTTAAAAGCAACCTACATGCTGCTTTTAAAAGCTGCTGTCTAGAACCCATTGGTTTTAAAATAAGTAGGATATTTTACTTTTACCAAACACTTTTTTACTGCCTAACTTTAAAGTTAAGCAAATTTTAGTGAAAAAAAGCAATACTAAACGGGCCTAACTCACACAAGGTCGTCTCCGACATTTTCGAGGACCCTGTGAGAATTTAATAAAAAGACTCTCTTTTAAAAATTAAAAAAAAATTAAAAAATGAAAAAAACTAATTTTTTGGACAATATTTTCCTACATAATTCAATATATCAAATTCAAACTTAATTAAAATTTGTATCTCACTCTTACAGTCTTACTAATTGAATAATCTCCAATTACCATGAAATTCTTCCGGTCCATCTACAAAAAAAAAAAAAACAAAAAACAAAAAACAAAAAAAAAGTAAGAAAAAAGCAGGACTAAAAGAGAGTTACTGAAAGACGCTTGTGTTTTTGGAATAAAATAGCACGAAAGTTAGTTTTTATTGCTAGAGAAAAGTGAAAGAAAGAAATACACTAGTTTTTTTTATTACCAAAGAGAATTGAAAAATTGATATATTTGGAAGCATGTGCAGTACACCTTTTACACAACTCAACGCCGCCTTTGAACTCGCACATATATCATTGTAACCAAAGCCAAGTTGAATTCTAAATTAAATCCAGGAGATTCGAGAATAGAAAAATCAAACAACAAATTTGAATCCGAGGAAGCAAAACTCAACTATTCCAATTAAAGTCGGGACAATGATATATCAGTCCAAGTTCTAAGAATCTAGCCCTACTAGAAAACAAAATTCAAATTAATTAAAAAAATATGTGCATGCATGTCCAAGAGATAAGTGATGAGTGAAGTTACGGGGTTAATTAGCTAGTAATAAGAGTTGTTAAAGTGATGAGTAAGAGTAGGCTATAAATTCAAATCGTTTCAAATAATGATGAATATCAATAAACTAACCCTCTTTTATAATCAGAAAAACAGAAAATAATTAAAAGTATGTGATTAGTGAGTAAGGGAGGATTGAAAGGGACTTCTCGCATTTCACTACATGTAGTGTGTCTTGTCTTCAGTTTTTATCGTCGTGCATCTTCGTTTGTTCTTCCTTCAAGCCTGGTTGAAAGAATCATCATTTTCAATCAAGTAACGATTATTTTATTTTTCTTTTTATTCATTGGATAATTTTTTGGCTTGTGCGTTAAGAAAAGAAGAATGGCTTTTTGTTGGTCACTGGGGGAAGCTGGGCTTTACATTTTTCCCGGTCAATCGTCTCTTCGAAAAACTCTGGAAATGGTCCCATTCCTATCCAAAACATATGTAATTGTAGCCGATGTGCTATTGTCTTAAATCGATGGATTACTATAATGATTAAGACGTGGCAGGATCTTGGTACATGCACGAAACTTAAATCTAGAAACTCGGGTTCTGAATGTCAGGACATGCTATAGAAATTGACGTTCTCAATGGGGGAGCGTATATCTCAAAAAACATAATTAATATTTCTAGAAATAATGTTTCACCGCAATGACAAAAAATAATCATGCATATACATTATAATGCAAATTCGATTATCACCGGTTCCCTTCCCGATAACTATTAACTATTTAACCCACTAACATATCGTTCTACTAAAAAAATTCTCATTTATGACTCGTCGATCCAAGCCCTTGCATTTCTTATGAAGTATTTTAAATGCTTCTTCAAGAACCACCTACATTTTTATTAATAATTTCAATGTGTCCTAATAGAAAATCTTTTACTAAAATTGTTTCTGAGGATAAGTGTTTGATAAAAAAGTAGTTACATATGAGCTCTTATATTTAAGTTCATAATATATAGATGTAATACACTAAGTAACACTGTGATTATCACTCTAAAAAAATTCAGTAATGTGATAGAAATAAGATGGATGCCAAATACCAATTTAAATTGATTTCCAATTACACCCCAAGCTTTTCCCTTTTGGGTTTTTACATTGTATGTCGCCATTAAACGACACGTCACCTAACTTTTTAAAATGACGTCAAGAAAACCAAAAGTTGTTAGCTGTCGTCTTCGTGGTCCAATGATCATTCACTCACCCACCCGTAACTCGTCGTTTTGCCGGGCCATTCTTCCCTGTCAATCTTGCGAGTCAGTTTGAGCAAAACATGGAGTCGAAGTCGATCGCGTGGGATTTGTGATCGGCATTGCGAGGGGGTCCGCATTGGGACTGATGATGGGATGGTAACACTCAAGCCTCACAGATTTTTTAGCGGTCAAAATACGGACGACAAGTCACATGTCGTACAATTAATGAAAATTCGTATTTTTCAAGGGAGCTTTAAGTCACATGTCGTACAATTAAAGAAATTTCGTTTTTTTTCAAAGCTCTCCATAATATTCATTTTAACTAAAAAAAAAAAAATCATATTTTTACACTAAAAAATTAATTATGTTGTTATTTACTTTATCTTTTATTTTATCTTTATTGTTAAAACTTAAAGTTTTCAAACCATTTTCATTAGTTTTTTTTTTTAAATGTCTATCCAATTATATAATGACATCTAACATATCCTACTATATTCTCGTCACATTAAAAACTCTTTCCTACCACAGAATCTGACTGAAGAGGTGTAGGCAAAGGGGGCGTTGAGGGGGGTACGAAAGGTGCAGCGACCCCAAATTTGAAAGGGCTCCCAAAATTTTTATCATCTAATATTTATATTTAATAATATTCTATATTTAAAATTGCTTTAGTTACGAAATAATGTTCTATATTTAAAAATTGATTTTGTTAGCCCTTTAAAATCTCATCTTACACTCCTTATAAGCATAATTTTTTTTTCAGTTTCTAAATATAAAAATTTAGAGTACAATAAGATATTTTGAGTGCTAATAATACATCATAAAAGACGGTGTTTTTTTCAATATTATTATATAATAATATTACATATTCAAGTGAAACTTTAAAGTTAAGAGTTTTTTAAGTTTGGTTTCTTGTTTGGTTGTTTAAGATTGAACTGTTTTTTATTATTTAGTGAACGTTATGTTTGTAGCTCTTTTTACTTATTATTAATGACATTTTTAAATTTGCAATCAGTGAGTGCTAAACTTTGTTTGGGTTTAAATGATTGTTTTCTAGCGTCAATACATTGTCCTACATTTTTTTAAGACTATCTTAAGGATGGGTGCTTTTATAAATTTCGCACAAGACTCCCAAAATCTCAAAGACGGCCCTGGGTGTAGGCTTTAATTATGTATCAAAATTTTTTTCTTAAACTAATTAAAGGGAGCCTTATATATAAAGACAAAAAAACATGTAATATTTCAAGGAACTTCATTAATTTTTAAACATTTTTTTAACGAATGATATTATCTACATTAAGGAGAGGGGATGGGCTTAGCTTCCCAATGAGCTAGCAATAATGTGGTTCAAATTCGCCTTTGACAAGAATCGAACCTAAAACCTCTCACTTACAAGTGAAGAGAAATATCACTAGACCGTAGTACTAAGGATTAGTTTGAGGTTGTGGTGCTTTAGGGGGGGGGAACCTTATTAAAAAATCTAGAGCATTAAATATGTTTGGTAAAACAAAACAAAAAAGTGTTTTTTTTTAGAAAACTGCTGTCAATGAAAGTAGAAAAGCAGAAACAAGGTCTATCATGCTTCTAAAAAAAGTGTTTTTTTTTTCTTTTCAAAACATAATAATCAATGCTCATTTAATAAAATTTTCAAATAGCAAGTATACCCCCCACATGTTTTACAAAATTATTTTTGTCCTACATTATTGTCTTTGACAATTTTTAAAAAAGTATAACAATACCAAACTAGCCCTACGTGCCTAGTTTTTAAACATTTTAAGGAAAAACAAAAAACCTAAAGCCTAGCCCAAAAACAAGGAAACAATTTTTTTAAGGGAACTGTTATTGGCACTTGTTTGGACCCAAATTTACATCATCACCCCGTGCAATCAAAGTCGTTGAATGACCATAACTTCACACCGTCATATGAAGAAATTAAGATAATTTTATTGTTAAGAGATAATATTATGATTTTTAATCATTTTTAATAGTGAATTATCTTGGTTTTTCTCTTGTTCCAAATAAACATGATGCAAATAATATCTCTAACCTACAATTCAAATTAATTGGAGACATTCGACATACGGCAGTGCATCTATTACTGGATTAATTTCATGCAATTAATCTATGCATGGGATAAAGATGAAATTGAAATGGTGAAGTGGTCAGAATGGCTTTTGGGATTGCCAAAAGACCTACAGGCTTGCTATGCACGTGGATTATCATTAACAATGGAGGATGAGGTGGCGGTTTTTAATTTTGCATGTAGCAAGTAAAGAATTCTATTAGGATTCTATCTTTGGCTAACGTGTGGAGGTGATGATAATGACTATCTATGGTTCTGTACAATTTATATTTTATCATGATGCATGTGATGACTCCCAGTTGGTCGATGAGTGATGAGGGACAATTATCCTAATGCAATTGCGGGAATAGGATAATCAGCAAGATTAAGTGATGATTATTCTACCTGGAGTAATATTCCAAGAATCGTGTGATACGGCAACAACTTGAGGGTGAGGCAGTTCGTTCTTATAATTACAAAGTTGCGGACAACATTTAAAGTCCCTTCAATTTAACACACAATTGCCCTGCTCAAACCCCTCAAACATCTGAGAAATTTCATTTTCTTTTTCCGC